TTGCTGTTAAACCAATTCAGAAAGAGATGCAATCTGTCAATTGTCTTGGCTGCCATTCTGACTTCAGTGGAAATGCTTCTTGTACTAATTAAGAATAATGCATTACCAGAGCTGGATATGAAAATATATCAGGGTCAAAACTTGTGTCTTAGCTTCAGAATATCATAAAACAATTTTGTTTTTGTTTTTTTTAAATAATATATCACTGTAATACTTGCTACAAATTTTAATAAACCACACTTACTTGGTTCTGGAAATGCCCAATATTTTTGGACAAATTTTAATGTAACTAAGAGTCTTTTAAAATTTATCCTGCGACCCAGATGTCCCTCAGCCCATTGGAGGCAAATTTATCTTGGCTTTTTCTCTTGAGCTAGCTACCATTTATTCAAGAAACAAATTCTCTGTAAATCCTTAATCACCCAGATATGTTTCATTAGGAGACCATAAGGGGTGATTATGTAATACAGTAATATTTTATGTCATCTCAAAATTGGCTTTGCTTCATGTGCATAAAGCTGAAAAAAATCCCATGTTAGATTGTATGCTAATATAAAACTGTTTATGCAGCCAATGTTTTGTTTTATGTACCAGCTAGAAAGGAATTTGTTATATTACTCTCTTTAACATTGCATAAGAGGGAGAACATACCATTGCCTTTAATTCCTATATAATGTCACATGTTGTTGCTCACTGGACTCCAACCTTTTCTTCAATTCCTAAGTACTGACCAAGACCCACAAATGGTCACACTATAGTCATTTGCTCAAAAAGGTGTAATTTCTCACACCTACACTAGATTGCACATGAGATCCTTTCAAAGGGAGAATCTAAGGGGGGGTTGCAGACTGCCAGAAATAGTGCAAATTGAGTCCACTTTTAGGGTTAGGGTTAATGCTAGGGAATCATGGGAATTCTTTTTTTTCTGAGACATTGCACCTTCTCTGTCAGAGAACTCTGGTGCCACAATAAACTACAGTTCCCATGATTCCCTAACCCTAACCCTAAAAGTGGACTCAATTTGCACTATTTCTGGCAGTCTGCAATCCCCCTAAGTCACTTTGAGCACACTGATAGTGGCTTTTAAGATCTCATTGTCAGTGGGAATACATAAACATGAGTCAAAGCTTGCCTTCAGACATGTTATTTTAATACTCAAGTGTTGAGGGCACAATTCTCCAAGGATGAGGTGTGTTTTTATTTGTAGTACTTATGTATAGATTTGACTAGAATAAACTCAGTTCACTAGATGGTACTAAATCACTTGAAATTGTTAATTTCCATGTACTTTACTGCACCTGCCTTTGTTGGATTGTGGCTGAGAGGAATAAGACAATGGAATTGTCCATTTAGAATTTTTTTAAAACTGCATCTGTCTGTGTAACAAAAAAAGATCCATCATATAAATTTCAGTTCTTCAGGAGGGAGGAAATCAACCAGATTTTTTCTTTCTTTTAGCAAAGAGCAAAGTCCTGAGTTCAAATTAGCTGTATTCAAACTAACTGCAACCCATATGTACTGATATGTTTCAGTTTAGCTGATATTTTAAAATATATTTTAGTAGTGCAGTGTATTAGCTTTACACTGTATTAAAAGGAAACTAGACCTAGAGATTACTTGGTGGAACAGGAAAAAAGGATGAAATTGCATTGTTTGAATGGAGACACTTAGAAGCAAGAACATTTGTGACAAATACTATTAAAAAGTTATAAACACGTGTGCATGTTTTTCTAGCACAACAAATTGTTGAACAATTTCATGAATGGCTACAAATCCCATGTTTCAGTTATAAAGCACTTCCTAGGTATCTTAGTCTATTCTGTAATTATTATGCTGCGATTGTTTAAAAGGGATTTTTTTCACAATATACTTGTATATATGTATTCTATTATGTACCTGTGCATGCATGCACATAGTTACACACACACACCCTGAAAGGGAAGATGTTCATTTTTGCAGAATATTTTACCAGTATAGCTCTTGATTGGATAAAGTCTGTGTAGTATTCAGGGGTGGAGAGAGTTCACCTTTTATTAATTACATCAATATCCATATGATGAGAGATTTGTATAAATGTAAATTACTGTAAGTGGATAAAGTAATACTTGATCAAGGTATTTTTTTTAAAAAAATGTATCCTTTTGGGTAGAACTAAATTGGTGTTTAATTTTGTACATACTGTGTTTTATTCAAACTTGCACCTTTTTTGTGATGTGTATTTATAAGTGTGCAGAAACACTTTTGTGAAGTTTGGGATTCCAGTTGTAGATTATGTATGATGGAACTATGTGTAAAAGATTTGAAAAAGGTGCAATCAAAGATCTAGTTTTCTGTCTCTTAGAACAAGCTCTCCCTTGTATTTAGCCTGGTTCTTCCCTTCTTCCACTTCTCTCATGTTTTTGTTTTTTTTAAAAATGTGGTCATTTGCATTAAATTGTTGAACAAGCTGGTAAAAATAATCAACTTCTCAGGAGATACTGGGAGAAATGTATGGCGCACACCTGCAGAATGATTGTCCCCATTTCACTGAAGCTTTGTAGTATTTTATCAAAGCCCTCATGGAAATGATTGGCAGGTGCCTAGCTGAAAAGCTTTTGTATCATATTTAATGTCAGCAGATTTCGAGAGGGAAGGATAGTGGGGATTAATTTTCTAGTTCTGGTTTACATCTAAATAGAGTTAAATTTATATTTACTAGACCTATTCCAAGAGAACACTTTTTCTATATTGTAAAAACAAATGTCAGATAAATCACAAGAAAAATAAATAAAATGTTTCTACTATTATGAACAAATGGAGTTCCACTTTTTTTCTTTATTAACTAGGAATATGAAGGGCTTTATTATTAAACAGTCAAGTTTTATTAAGATGATGGCAGGTCCCATTTCCAAGATCCTAAAATGTTTAATCCTCTCATACTTTGTATACTAAAGACTGCACTTCTCATTTTGACCTCCAAATCCTACCCCCATGTTTTTCTCCTTGATATGCACCTTGTTGAATAGGACATTGCATTAACTTCATTCCCTTCATTTGTTCCGCATCTTCATTGCTGCCAGTGTTACTATTGCAACCTTTGCTGTCTCTTCACTAAAAACTATGGCCCACATTCATTTCACCTGTTGTCTGACTATTGCAGTCTTCTCCTCTCTAATCTGTACTGTGCTCTTTTGGTTCCCTCATATGTATCCATCACTCTGTTGCTGAAAACAGTTTGCTTTTGTCATTGCTTTGCTTACATGATACTCCTCCTTAAATCTCTACATCAGGGGTAGGCAACCTTTTTGAGCCGGGGGCCGGGTTGCTGTCCCTTAGACAATTGGGGGGCCGAAGCACCAAAAACAAACAAACAAACAAACAAATAAATAAAAATTAAACAATTTTTAAAAATTAAAAAAATATGCATGCACACTGTCTCAGCCCCAGAAAAGTCATGGTAAAACCCCTGTGGAGGTTTTGCCAAGAAAACCCCAAGAACAAGTAATAACAACAATAATCGATATCATCATGGTGGGGGGCGGCGGCGGCAATGGCAGTGGCAGGACCAGCCTGGGGCAAGTCCAAAGGCCTCAGGGGGCCGCATCCGGCCCCCGGGCCTTAGGTTGCCTACCCCTGCTCTACATCATCTTCTGCGCCTATATTCAGCAAAAGCACCTCTGTCCCTTATTTTCAAAGCACTCCATGACCCTGCTGTCTCTCCTCTTTGCTCTTTAATCCCAATATATTCATAGAATCATAGAGTTGGAAGAGACCAAATGGCCCATCCAGTCCATGCAGGAACACTCCATCAAAACATCCCTGAAAGATGGCCATCCAGCCTCAGTTTAAAGACCTCCAAAGAAGGAGACTCCACCACTCTCCACTGTCAAACAGCTCTTACTGTCAGGAGGTTCCTTCTAATATTGAGCCGGAATCTCTTTTCCTGTAGCTTGCATCCATTATTCTGGGTCCTGTTTGCTCCATCCTCAATATGACATCCCTTCAAATACTCAAACAGGGCTATCA